CTAGTTGTTTTGTATTAGCCATGTATTTGTTGTGTTTTATTGTTTAATTTTATATTGGAAGCCGCCTAGAGTGGTCCATCGGTCCAGATAGGCGGGGTATAAATCAAATAAATAAATAAATAAACAAACAAACAAATAAATAAATAAATAAATAAATAAATAAATAAACGGACAATTCTAGTGGTGACAGGAGCAGAGAAAGCCCTGAAGGGTAACAGTAGTGACACTGGCAGACAATCTTTTGTAGACAATGACTGTGACACTCAAGCCAGCTTTTGTTACTGTTGTGCTGAAGAAAGCAATAGGAAACTGCTAGTGAATATTTTATAACTTGAACACCCTATGATGAGACAGTCCAAAATGAACAAAGAGACAGTGCCAGAAGGTGAGCCCCTCAGGTTTGAAAGCACTTAATCACCTACTGAAGAAGAGCAAACAATAAGGACAAATAATATGGTCACTAATATAGCAATTGGATTAAAGCTGAAGGAAGATCTAGTTGCCTATGGGTACAGAGGCAAAAGGAAACTGAGATTCTGTACAACAGATATACTTGGAACATGGCATGTGAAAAGTATGAATCAAGGTAAAATCAAAACCAAAAAGCAAGTAATGGAGCATTTAAACATTTCAATACTTGGTGTGCATGAACTAAAGTGGATTTCAATATAACGCAGAATTTTCAATCAGACAATAGTTTTTAATACTGGAAATAGCAAACTTGGAAGAAATGCTATGGTACTAATAGTGAGGCAAGATGTACCACAAGCAGACAGAGGTTGTAATATAGAGTCTGACTGGAGAACCTATCAACATAATCATTCAGATCTAAGTTCCAACTAGAGATACTGAGGAAGAACTAATGGAAAGTTTTTTGTTTTTGCCAGTGTTCAGATGAAAACTGATCACACACCAGAACCAGATGTGCTCATAATCATAGTTGACAATAATGTAGAAGTAGGATATAAAGTAGAGCAACCAATGGTGGAGAATTAGGCCTAGAGGTCACAAATGAAACAGGAGAAGGACACATAAAATTCTCTGACTGGAATCCTGCTGGAGTTTGAATAAGGTTTGCAAAACCTGTAGCAGCTAATTGAAGCTAACTCATGTCAAGAATGTTGTGCAACAATTTTGGCCCATCAAGCTACCAAACACATTTCAGGCAACCAAATAGACTATGCAAATAGATATCACAAGAGGGCCAAGTTGGAAGTAGTAGCCGAAGAAACTATTCCATTTTCTAAAACAGGAGCCGACTGTGGTACAAATATAAATGGTTAATATTTTAATAATTGGAGTAAAAGTGAAAAAGAATTAAAGTGAAGCTGAAGAAGAACACTAAAAGAATCATAGTGCTAAAATATAACATTTCTAATTAATTTAAAATCCATGTAAAAATGATTTTAATTGCTAAACTCAACTGACTAACAATCAGAAATGCTGTGAATGGAAACTGGAGATAGTATGTGTGAGCCCTACCAGTCCAAGCAGGGTTAGCAGCTGCTCCTTACTCCATAAAGGACAACACAGGTGGTTGTGACAAAACAATTTGTTGTTAAAGTTTCAAGGTCAGTTTCCAAATTAATAATAGCAAGTCCCAGACAAGTTTCAGTCACTGTGTGGAGTATAAAATATAAAGCCCCTTAGGTCCATGCTCCCCTGCCCCTCTTGTTATCTTCACTGAGGGGGAAGGTACATAGGGGTCCTTTTCTTGCATCTCCTTCTGTCCTGAGACATAGGTCTTACAAGAGGAGGGATGGTATGCCCACACCAAGGGCAGTGGGGCGGCTCTGCTACCCTGGTACTGTCCTGGTTCAGCGACTCTTGGTTTTGACAGGCTCGCAGATGTTGCCTCCAGCACTTCAGTTGGGTCAGTTATGGCTCATCAGAGCCTGACTGATATTTGTGGAGCATTCTCTCACCTCATGCACTCCTCCTAGCAAGAGGACTTCAGAGGTAATCAGGAATTTAAGTGTTTCTCCTGGGGAACCCTCAGCTGCATAATCATCCCTATCTAGTGATCCTCCTTGCACACATACTCCTTGACAGGAGCAGCTCCTCAGGGAGTTCCACCTGGTAATCCTCTGGAATCCCAAGCTGGATCTTGCAAGGTATCCCCCCCCCCAAGACTTTTCTTCCACCTTCTCCTCTACCATCACTACATCAGGAGCAGGTCCCTTGTCTGAACACCCTGCTCCTCTGTCACCTTTATCCTTCCCTCATTTCCATCTAGTGCTTCCCTTATATCCCTCTGGTCCCACAAACCTCCCGGTCCCTCCAGGGATTGCTCCTCTGGGACTGGGCTTCTTGTTCCAGGTGCCTCTCTCCAATACGTCCATCTGGGTTCTCTCCTCAAGGGGCCCAGGTGCATTCACTGGTTGTGGCATTCTCCAGATTAGTCTCTCTGAAGTTTATTGGAGAGCTGACAGTTGTGAACTTGGCAGGTCCTGGGACGAGGTTAGACAGGCTGCTGACAGGTGTGCCCACGCCACTGTCTTTCTCTCATACTATCCAAAAGGAAGGATGTGAAAAGACTATTCCTGTAAAGAATGTGAAAAGACCACCAAAAAGAAAGAAACACTCAAAATTGTTAATGACAGATGTGAAGAAAATGTCAGAGGTGACAGAAATAGTGTCATAATCCTAGATGCAACTTTTCAGTAACTACCATGTAAGTTACTACAATAACCAGTGGAAAAATAAAGGAAAGGGACAGTAAGAAAAACAAGAAATCTCTTTTGCTGTCCTCTGAAGATGCCGGCCACAGAGACTGGCGAAATGTTAGGAAAAACCACCTTCAGAACACGGCCAAGAAGCCCGAAAAACCCACAACAACCATTAGATCCCGGCCGTGAAAGCCTTCACGAATACAAATCTCTTTTCCATTAGATCCAAGAAATTCAAGGAAATTTTTAATTAATATTGGAGATGCCAAAGAATCAACAAAGGAATATATTATGTTGTTTTCCCAAAAAGAAGACAGGGTCTTATATTAATTTTTGCTCCAAAATGCAGTAGGGCTTATTTTCAGGAGATATTTTTTCATGTACAATAATCTACATTTATTCAAATACAGCCATGTCATCATCTTCTGGTTGCTGCACAATGGTGGAGGGCAGAGTTTCACTTAACTAGGGCTTATTTTTGAGGTAGGGCTTACATTACGAGCATCCTGAAAAATCATACTAGGGCTTATTTTCAGGTTAGGTCTTAGTTTCAGGGAAACAAGGTATCTGATTAGAATAAAAGAAATGTAAGATAGGAACAATATACCAAAGAATTATATAGAAGGAACAGAAGGATG